TGACTTCTGGATTTCGGCCCTTTAGCTGCAATACACTCCGCGCAGTTAGCAATCCACTCTGCGACCAATTTCCGACAACCAACCCAATAGAACCTCTGCTTAACCTTCTCCAGGGTCTTCGTGATTCCCAGGTGCCCTCCACTAGGACCATTGTGGAACTCCTTGAGTACATCCGGAATTCTTACCCTTGGAACTACTATCAGGTTGCGGGAGCACTGGTCATCTTCGCTTTCCCATACCCTATGCAAACAGCCAGATATTAATTTTAAGCTGTTCCATTGTGCCCAGTACGCCTTTGCGATGGGGCTTTCCGCTGCCATTTGCTCCTTAGTTGGCCTTCTGTCCACCTCCAGTCCATGCATCAAAAGCTCCAGATCTGGATCTTCCTGCTGGCACTTTCGTAGCTGTTCTTCCTTTCACTCTTCCGCTGGGGTTATTGTCATTAGACGGACGTCTATAATGTTCTCTTTTCCCTCAGCTTTTGAGCAGTGTTTACATTCCAGGCTACATGGTCTGCGGGACATGGCATCAGCATTACCGTGGACACTTCCCTTGCGGTGCTCAATAGCGAAGTCATAACTTTGCAGTCTCTCAATCCACCGAGCTAGCTGTCCTTCTGGATTCTTAAACTGTAGTGGCCACTTCAGCGCTGCATGGTCCGTTCGAACTCGGAAACGTTGCCCATAGAGGTACTTGTGGAAATGTTTGACGCACTCCACCAACGCTAGTAGTTCTCTCCGAGTTACGCAGTAGTTCCTTTCTGGTTTTCCAATCGACCGGCTATAGTAGGCAACCACCTTCTCCTGCCCATCAATTACCTGCGACAGTACGCCTGCTATAGCATAACCACTAGCATCCGTATCCAAAATAAACTTTCCACCTGGAACGGGATACGCTAGCACAGGTGCAGTACATAGTCGTTCCTTCAGAGTCTGGAAAGCCTCCTCCTGCTCCTTGTTCCACTCGAAGGCTCTACTTTTCCTAGTGAGCTCGTGGAGGCTATTAGCAACGCTGGCGAAATTCGGAACAAATCGGCGGTAGTAGGTGCATAGCCCAAGAAAACTCCGTAGTTCGTGCAGGTTTCTAGGTCTTTGCCAATCCTTTACTGCTTCTATCTTTTCCTTCGCAGTACAGACGCCCTCTGTTGTCACCTTGTGCCCTAAGTAGTTCACCTCCTTCCTGAACAGAGAGCACTTTTTAGTACTTAGCTTCAGACCAGCGCCAGCTATCCTCTGGAAAACTTCTTCCAAATTGTTCAAGTGTTCCTCAAAGCTTTTACCCAATACGATAATGTCGTCTAGATACACCAAACATGTTTTCCAATGCAGTCTTTTGAGCACATGGTCCATAAGTCGTTCAAAAGTGGCAGGAGCGTTGCATAATCCAAAGGGCATCACCGTGAATTGCCACAGACCGTCTCCAACGCTGAAAGCTATCTTCTCCTTATCCTCGTCACTTACCTCCACTTGCCAATAACCGCTCTTTAGGTCGAGTGTTGAGAACCACTTTGTTCCAGTCAACGAGTCCAGAGTGTTATCGATCCTGGGAAGAGGATAGCTGTCCTTTTTCATCACATCGTTTAGTTTACAGTAGTCTACGCAGAACCGCATTTGACCATCCTTCTTCTTCACAAGTACTACCGGCGAACTCCATGGACTCACTGATGGTTCAGTCACACCACTCTCGCTCATTTCTTTTGTTATTTGGCTAACAGTTTCACTTTTGGCAAGCGGAACACTCCGAGGAGCTTGACGGATTGGCCTTGCATCGCCAGTATCAATGCGATGTTTCACGACGTTAGTCCTGCCTGGTTTGTCGCCATCCTTGTCGAATATGTTGGAGTATCTTCGAAGAAGTTCCTTAGCCTTGTGCTGGTATTTTTCTTCCAACCCTTCCGTCCATGCATTAATGTCTTCCGCAATGTCGTTCTCGCCAATGGAATCGCTTTCAGGTAATGTTTCGCAGTTGAAGATTGCCTCTACCTCTCGACATTGCCCCAGTACAGTTCCTCTTCGGAGTTTGACTGGTGATTTGAACTCATTGAGCACTCGAACTGGGATGCGTCCATCCTTTTGCATCTTAGCCAGGGTTTTACCAATAATTACGTCCGGTGTAGAATTTTGTGTTGCTTCAACAACCCACAATTTGTTTGTCCCACAATCTCCATCAATCTTTGCCCACGCAACTGCTTCTGATTTCGGTGGAATCTGCTCGCTTTCCTCTAGGATCACTCGCTTGCTGCTGTACGGATCATCATACCCAAACCTAAGGGGCACTTCCATGTTGTCGTACTTCATGATCCTGTTCTTCGTGTCGATTTTTATACCTTGATCAAATAAAAAGTCTAATCCAATGATGACTTCATCCATAATCGCCGCGACTATGAACTTGTGTAACACCGTCACATTCCCTATTGCGACTTGGCATGTTACCTCTCCTACAACTTGGGTGTCCTCAACAGTTGCTGTCCTCAACCTTGCTCCAGGTAATGGCCTTACCTCTTTAGTGACCAAATCAGATCGAATGATGGAATGTGATGCGCCCGTATCCACAGTTAGTACTCGCTCATGTCCGTCCACATATCCACCAACAGTAACGTTGCCCGCTTTTCTGCCAATTCGCGAGACGGAGATTATGGGGCATTCAACTGCGGGAGCCAGCGTGCGCCCCTTACTGCTGGCTCGTTTTAGTTTAACGACTGATTGGAGTCGGCTTCGTCTCCTTCAGCCCTGCGTTTGCGTCCTGCTGAATGGTTGAGCCCACTGGAACTTGTGCTGCAATCGCGGGCGAAGTGGCCTGGCTTTCCACATTTAAAACATTTGCCAGAGCCATGCTTTTTCTCGCCCAGCAGTTGGATAATCTTCTTCAGCATTTCATTTGCCTCTTCCGGTGCTTCCACTTCCACACGATGTGCTTTGTAGGCTGGTCTACTTAGGAGCGCCGCCGTTTCACGCGTCTGAGCATACGAGACGGTTTCAGCAAATGTTGCCTTTGGATTCGCGTACGTCTCTCGCTTGGTATACATGTCCCGCATTCCGTTGATGAACCTCTGGATTTTTACCCTTTCAAGGTGCTCACCAGATGCGTCTCCAATTGCCAAATGAGCCAGCCTTTCAATCTCAGAGGCGAATTCCTGTAAAGTCTCGTTGGATTTCTGGCAGCGATTCTCCAGCTCCATCTGGTAAATCTGTCTCCTGTGCTCGCTACCATAACGTCTTTCC